GAAGTACGGTGGTGTGAGTATATATATATATATATATATATATATATATATGTATAATGATTTACATACTCCTATTATATACATAGATACATGTACATACCATATTCATCTACCTATGCTGGTTTATACAACTATGTATATTGATCTACATACACATGTGATATACATAGATACATACACATCTGATATTCATCTATGTACAAGGATCTACCTACACATATAATATGTGCGTGTTTCTGAATAGTCACAGGCATAGGATGTGTTAGGGTTTTGGCTTGTACTCGCAGATAACCCTCTACCTACCTGAACGTATTACCGAAAGCGTATCACTTTCATATTCATCATACGGCTGGGGCACCGCTTGATAAGCTGTCCTTAGATCACTGTACAAGGAGATCATAAGCCTCACCCGAACACTCATCAACAGGCTCGTGTATCTGCTTATGTACCACGTACACGCATGGAATACGTACACGACTACGCTTGGACGACAAACGAAGTCGAAGACGTTGGGTTGGCCTTTGTGGAGTGCTCTCCAAAAGTCGGCACAATGGCGATACGGCACAAATGTACTCGCAACCCAATTACAAATTCAAAGCTGAGCAAACTCGTGTCCATCCTAATTACAATTCCTCTTAATTGGAATGTACTTTCAACCCAATTTCGAAATCCTCCGCAGCCAATATCTATTGGAGTATCTCACGCACTCTGGAATGAGTACCCTCTAAACCCCTAAACCCTTCAGCACACCTTAATCGGTACAATCAAAGTATGGATCGCTGTGCAGGCCCATACCCATCCTAATTCCGATTCCTCTTTATTTGTCTACTATCGTGATGTCGTACAGAGTTGGGATCGTCCGTGCGGGACATCAAACGCTTCTTTGGCAGTTCTGCTTCCGCTCCGAAAGAGCCCCCGACTGAAGGGCATATTGTACGAGTGGCCCTATTTGACCAACGGTAAGTAGGCGCATACACCTACTTTCGAGTCTAGGGTTTATAATTCAGGACTTAGGGCTTAGGATTTAGGGTTTATACACATATGTTCTACGAGTATTGAGGGGCATATTGTACGAGTGGCCCTATTTGACCAACGGTAAGTAGGCGCATACACCTACTATCGGGTCTAGGGTTTGGGATTTAGGAGTTAGGGTTTATACACATGCATTACGAGCACTGAGGGGCATATTGTACGAGTGGCCCTATTTGACCAACGGTAGGTGGGCGCATACTCGTACTTTCGGGTCTAGGGTTTGGGATTTAGGAGTTAGGGTTTAAAGTTTATCCACATATTTGCTACGAGCACTGGGGGGCATATTGTATGAGTGGACAACTTGTTAACCACTCACCCGCACTCGCTCGCGTTACTTACCTACCACTTACCTACCCACCTCAGTGAACACTCCAGCGAGGACGACATCACAGTGATACTGGAAAAGTTTCTCAACGCTGTGCGTGTCAATATGGTGGGTGTTACGTCTACCAACCCGTCCCGTGCACCCACAACCCAGCCCACAAACCCGGGGCAGGTGTCCACTCCTAGAGAGCCCAGTCCTCTCCCTCCCAGGACAGGTGCAGGAGACTCCCGAGACAGTTCGGTACTGACAGGCGATGTGGATGTATCGGTGCACGGGGGTGTGGGTGTTCCAGGTGGCAGCCGATCCCATCGAGTGCGTGTGATGAAAGGTCCCGTGGTACTGCCCAACTCCATTGGGAAAGCGACTCTGACATTCGCGCAGTCCATACTCGATTTCTGATTGGTGGATGGTTGGTGGGTGGGTTGGTGCGATTGAGTTGATTGCCGAGGTGGACATAAAACTCAATTCTTATTGGCGGTTGTGGAGGAAAGCGCAGTTCTGATTGGTTATTCGGGTGGGCAGGTGACGGTTTGAATGAAGCACTGCAACATCTCACTACCGAAGAACCCCCTTTGGGATGACGGTTTATTAGGGTTTAGGGTTTTTAAAATTAGTTCATATTCCAATCGATTAGTCAGGAAACCATCGAGTTCTGAGGTGAATCTTGATGATATCCGGAACACAGAGTTGTAGATAGCCTCACAACATAAATACGAACTTACAAAATAAACACTAATTCCAGAGGCACTCGACTACAGAGAGACGGTTACTATATACAGACAAGGGAATATAGAGGTGTAGAGAACCTTACAAAATAGACACTAACTCAAGAGGCACCGACTATAGTGAGGCGGTTACTATATACAGACAAGGGAATATAGAGGTGTAGAGAACCTTACAAAATAGACACTAACTCAAGAGGCACCGACTATAGTGAGTCGGTTACCATATACAGACAAGGGAATATAGAGGTGTAGATAACCTTACAAAATAAACACTAATTCAAGAGGCACCGACTATAGTGAGACGGTTACTATATACAGACAGGGGAATATAGGTGTAGGTAACCTCACACAATGAACCAAATAGAAAAAAAGAGTGGGAGTGTCAGGGAAAGGAGTAACCAGAACGCGGAGCTAAGCAATCAAGCACAATCATCTCGACAGGGCATAACCTACTAGATACAACCTACACTATTACACGGAAGGAAATGAAAGCTATACTATTACACGGAAGGAAATAAAAGCTACACTATTACACGGAAAGAAATGAAACATACACTATTACACGGAAGGAAATGAAACCTACACTATTACACGGAAGGAAATGAAACCTACACTATTACACGGAAGGAACTGAAACCTACACTATTACACGGAAGGAAATGAAACCTACACTATTACACGGAAGGAAATGAAACCTAAACTATTACACGGAAGGAAATGAAGCCTACACTATTACACGGAAGGAAATGAAACCTACACTATTACACGGAAGGAAATGAAGACCTACACTATTACACGGAAGGAAATGAAACCTACACTATTGCACGGAAGGAAATGAAGCCTACACTATTACATGGAATGAGAAGAAGTTCTATACTATATCAGAAAGATAGACAGTCAAGTATCTCTCAGAAGGAAGTTAACCTACACTACACACGGCATGAGAAGTTCTATACTATATCAGAACGAGAGACAGTCAAGCATCTCTCAGAAGGAAGTGTTACGGTATATTGATTCACCAATGAAGGGTATCTTGATGTACAAGCTTTGCTTTTAAGGACAAATACTCCAGGATAAGAGCACAGGACTTGTTCTATCGACATACAAGTTTCGTCAGGAAAGTCTCTGAGGCGTATCAGACTATAAAGGGATATTCGTACATACACGTGATATGTATATACATGATATATTTTAATATACATATTAAATATTTGTACTCAAGTGATATATTTATTAGCTCACAATATATTTGTACTTATAAATAATATATCTGAATGTACATGATATATTTGTAAATATATATTATATATATATATGATATATTTGTATGCAAATGATATATTTGTAAATATATATATATATATATATATATATACTGTATTTGTATGCATATGATGTATTTGCACTTATATTTAGTATATTTGTATTTATATCTACTGTATTCGTCTGTATATCTTATATATTCATATACACATGATATATATGTACATACATATATTACATTTGGATGCATATATAATATATTTGCACATACATTTGACAAATTTGTATGCATACATTACGAAACTGTATATACATATGACATATTTGTATATACATGACATATTTGTACGTAAACATGTAATTATCATGGAGAGTTTTATTTTTCGGGCTGAGTGCCATGGGGTTTGTTTTTCGCACGTCGCAGCGTCGGGATGAGTTCGGCTCGTGCTTTTCATAGATATAAGTATATGCACATATGCATAACCATGTACAAATATACCCATATATGTACATATATATCCAAATATGTGCAAATATATTCATATATACCTATATGTATGTGCGTATAGGTATATATATGTACATGTATGCCTATATCTGGACAGAAATGCGTATAAGTATACTAGCTCAATTTACTCCTCGAACTGAGCGATGACCACCATCATGCCCACACCAGTGCACATGGCCAGTATCTCCAAGAAAGTCTGCCCATACGAACAGTCTGTCAGCAAATCAGGGATCACCTACGGGAAAAGATACAAAAGATTGTTTGAGAGACGTATATATATACATAAATATAAATATATATAGATTTAGTAGAGATTCGAAAACTTGATATGCAGCAGTGCAAGAGTGTGGGTGGGTGGGTGTAGTCTACGTGCATGACTAAGTCCCTAGTTGCTACTATCTATCGCCGGTATATTATATATATCATTGCTTGTATATGTGTGTATATATGTATATATGTATGTAAGTAAGCAAGTAAGTATGCATGTACGTACGGAAACTTCTCAACTTTGCAATCTCAAACACCACTCCACCAGTCATTTGCTATACCAGAGGTATTACTTACCGTGGTAGTGGCGATGTAGATAAACCCTCCCGCGGTCAGAGGCAAGATCCATGCAGTGGTGTGCATGAACTCCTGCGCCTTCAGACCAACCACTGCACCCAGCATAGCACCAATGGCAGTCGACAACTGGGCCACCATGGCCTGTATTAGGGATGAGGTAAGAACGTTAGGATATGA